AATGAAATGTAAGACAGAAACGTATATACAAACGCTTGGCCATATTTTTTTTGACTTCTCATACCTTTCTTCTTCTTTTTTTTTGTGCTTCGATACGCGTGCAACTTCAAATGGCTAGGCATTTATATCCCCGTGTGTATATATACAAACCATTTTACAAGTATCTCTGGAAAATAGATAGGACATCTTCTTCTATTCGGGCGGTCAAAGTCTCGCTACAAATGCTTTGAAGCATTTGATGGACCAATTATAAGAAAAAATTTTACAAACTAACCAATTAAAAAATATTTCAAAGTGTATGCAACATCGCGTTGATCATATTCTAGGTTCTACATTAAGACTACGTTCCAAAATTTTCTCTCCGAAAAAATGTTACTCGAAATATATAATACACGTAACGTATACTATATAGCACATAGAGCAAAATCTTCCTCGGAAAGAAAATTTTGGAATTAGCCTAGATAGAATGATCACGTGATGAGCATGTTGATCAAATGTACAACACGAAAGTGTCTCTACTGATTATACATACTTGTATCTGGTTTACCATGGTCACAGTATATACAATAGCGCAATTCTCTGTCGGCACCTTTGATGTTAGTATTGGCCAAAATGGACTGCGGCATGCAATAAGAAAAGGGGCGTACAATAAAAGGAATAGGGAACAGAGAATTTCCTATCAGAAATTGCGTATTCCACAATACATGATTTTTGATAGGCTAAAATTCTTATTCTCTATTCTCTATTTTGTGTTTCTTTTATTGTGCGGAACCCCTAAGTTATCTTATGTTGTCACGGTTATCACTTAAACTTCTTTCTCTCTTCATCCTTTTTTCATTCTGTCAAAATTCTCGCAAAACTCACTACATTTATTCGCATCGTAATCCAACGAATTCGTTGAAGTGAGTAAATATTATTGTAGGAACTTATTGGGGTATTTAAAGCATGCAACGCGAATACCTAATATTGCAATGAAACAATTTAGATTTTATGAAAATTAATTGTAAAAATAAATTGTAAATATATTGAAAAATAAAGAAAAAAATAGGAAAAATAAAGAAAAATTAGGAAAAATATTAAATTAACTTAAAAATGTATATTTGTATAAAGAAATATTATATTAATTATATATCTATGAAAATATTATGAGAAAGCTGATATAAAAGAAATTTATGTTTAAAAAATAAATTTAAAATACAATAAATAAAAAAAAATCTTTCTTGTTCAATTTTCTATGTTACTTTTGTTTACTTTTTCACTTTATCACTTTTTCACAAAAATTAGACCAATCTCTCGAAGTTTCTCACACAATATTTCACCACACAGACAATATACGTAATACTTCCCTCTAAATTTCTACTCTGAACCATGTATGCCTGAAAAACAAATGTTTAAATGAAATATTGAAACGCTCATTTAAATAGAGAGAAAAAAGAGAGAGAGAGAGAGAAAAAGAGAGAAAGAGCAATGAAAAAAGGAGGAAATGAGATGGGGCAACTTAGGGGCTCCGCATAATAAAAGGAACAGGAAACAGAGAATAGGGAATAAGGATTTCAACCTATCAGAAACTGTGTATTTCACAATACATGATTTCTGATAGGTTGAAATTCTTATTCTCTGTTCTCTGTTCCCTGTTCCTTTTATTGTGCGGAGCCCCTTATTTATTTTACGCATGCGCACTCCATTTTAGCCAACATAAAATCAGGAGAGTTGCGCTACTGTATATACTATACCGTGGTCTATAGTTTATACACTCCGCGTGTACGTACATACGTGTATGCGTGTTTCGTATTTGATTTATATATAGTACTCGGTGAAGATTTCGTTTCTTCACGAGAGGTATAATTCTGTCCAATTCTGTCTGTCACCGATAGCTGTACGTAGAGTTATTGTTTCAATATAACGGATAAGGCTAACGATGCCGCTGCAAGTTCACGACGTTCAGGTAAATTTCCCATCGAGATCAGGCACGAGCGATTCTCCTCAAGATCGCACGCGACTCAAGAGGGAATAATTGTTTTGGGGGTTATCCAGAGCAAACCTTCACTTGCACGCATCTCTTTATTGTTTCTTCATTCTTCTCGATTGAAATACTCCTGTAGGCTGAATGGTTTGTCTTTTATCTTATTATTTGCAGCAAAATGTCGTGGAGCCAATGCAGGTTGATGCTCCTACAGAGGATAATGATAATGCTGAAGAGGAACCATATATAGTAGAAAACCCGACGCTAGTACGTATAAAGATCGGTTTAATATAAAAACAATTCTATATTTGTTAATCACAGAAATTCAATTTCATTGTATGAGCATTGTTTCCTTACTTTTTTATCAGGATTTGGAAGTATATGCCAATAGTTATACTGGACTCGCAAAACTACACAGGCTTGTATATATCGCTGATCATTGTCCATCATTACGAATAGAAGCATTAAAGATGGCAATTACTTATGTGATGACTACATATAATGTTGGACTTTATATAATGTTGCATAAAAAGCTTGTAGAAGCTATGGGCTATACTCCTGGATTACCAGATATAGCGACACAGTCAACCTCTCAGGATATGCCAACAATGGATCAGACATGGGTAGAGACTCGATCTAAGAAGGCTGCTCTTAAGTTAGAAAAGTTCGATACTGATCTGAAAAATTACAAGAGCAACTCTATTAAGGAGAGCATACGAAGAGGTCACGATGATTTGGGAGATCACTACTTGAATTGCGGCGATCTCGTTCATGCTTTAAAATGTTATTCTAGAGCACGAGATTACTGTACTAGTGGCAAGCACGTTGTGAACATGTGTTTGAATGTAATCAAAGTTTCTGTTTATCTACAAAATTGGTCTCATGTACTTAGTTATGTCACCAAGGCTGAAAGTACACCAGACTTTCCAGAATTACATGGTAAAGACAACAATCAAGCGATAGTCACAAAGTTAAAAGTGGCAGCGGGCTTGGCAGAATTGGCAACAAGGAAATATAAAATGGCCGCAAAACATTTTTTACAAGCGTCTTTAGATCATTGCGACTGCCCTGAATTGCTGTCCCCTGGAAATGTAGCTCTTTATGGAGGACTTTGTGCTTTAGCAACTTTTGACAGACACGAATTGCAAAAACAAGTTATATTTAGTAGTTCCTTCAAATTATTTCTAGAATTAGAACCACAACTCCGAGATATAATTTTCAAATTTTATGAATCAAAATATGCATCTTGTTTGAAACTGCTCGATGAGATAAAGGATAATATTCTCTTGGATATGTACATAGCACCTCATGTAAACCTGTTGTATACACAAATTCGAAATAGAGCCTTGATACAATATTTTAGTCCTTACCTAAGTGCAGACATGAGAAGAATGGCGACTGCATTCAATAGAACTGTATCTGAATTAGAAGATGAACTCATGCAACTTATTCTCGATGGTCAGATTCAAGCTCGTATAGATTCACACAACAAGGTGAGAAGTTGCACTTGATTTACATTTAACATTTTATATTTTTCTTAAGGTGCATTACATCAAGCATCTATCCAGAAACTCGAGCATGTGTATGATTATAAATCTTCTAAACTTTCAACTTGCAAAAGATAACTTGCAAAAAATAAACTTTCAACTTGCAAAAGACAATGATTATGTTCTGATATATATTGTCCTATATATATATAATATTAAAAATTCAATTTATTTATATTATATAATCAAACAAGATATATAATCACCTCTAGCAGTGCGCATTGAATTCAATGCATTTCAGTAAAGTTATTATTTATTTAATAAATATATCATTGTACATACGCTTGATGCTCCTAAATATCTTTAGACATTTATAAATTATGTGAGAGTATTTTAATAATGTATTTTAATAAATTATTAAGAAATATATAGATTTAATTGTGCAATTGATACAATTATTACAGATTTTATATGCAAAAGATGTCGATCAACGTAGCACCACTTTTGAGAAGTCTATGAGTGTTGGAAAAGATTATCAGAGGCGTACTCGTATGTTAATCTTAAGAGCTGCGATGTTGAAACAGCATATTCATGTGAAGGTGAGACTTTTTTTGCAATTATATTTTCTCATTGTTAGTATATCAACTATAAATTTCATCAAAAAAAATTTTGTTTATCATTCTATTTAAAAGTGTTTTTGTCATGATAGAGTCCTCAACGGGATAGTACACAAGGAGGTGAAATGTCAGTAGCACCTGGAAATGGCACTTTAGCTGTAAAAAATTGAAATTGTATGCGCATTAACTGGAAGAAGCAAAAATTTATATGCGTGTCTCTCTCTTTCAACTGCCATGTCCATCTAGGTATGAGAAGATAAGATTTCATTGTCACATCCGATATTGCGTTATTTCTGCAAAGTCAATGACCTGTACCTCATTTTCAACATATGTATAATATATAACATGTACACACACACACACACACACACACACACACACACACACACAAAAAATACACACACACAAGTTAATCAAAAAGAAATCAGACTAGGTCTATTAAAATTTAAATATTTTTTACATAATTTATATTTGGAATCCACATCCCCTTCAAAGTAGTATACATTGTTTTACATTGATTTTGTTGTACATTGATCTCATTGCTTTTATCATACCTCCTTTAGAAATGTCTTTTAGAAATCTTTATCTCAAATTATGTTAAAACATCTTTTGTGATTTAGCCTGGGATGTTCTTGATTCTTGATTGGAATACCGCTTCTTGAGATTCAATTTTATTGTGAAAAATAAAAAGAAAATCGAGTCAAGCTAAATCCGGGTAGTAAAGACTCAAAAAAGTGAGAAAACTCAAGAGCGCAATGAAGATCATCCTAATTGTTTTTTTAACATTGAGGAAATCATGCACCAAGAATTTGTTTCTGCCAATCAGTCAATAAAGATTTTTTTATTGCAACATTTGAGATTGCGTGAAGATGCAAGAATTTAGAACTTAGATATAATTAAGGCCATCCAGAGTGAATCGCAAAAAGTGCTTTTAGATAAAGATTCCAGAGTACATTTGAGGAGACATTATGAAAGCAATGGAATTGCTGTAATAAAATTAGAAAGAAATTTGAAGGTGATGAAAGATCAGACTTAATAAATTAGGTAAATATATTTAAATTTTTATAGGATTCTCCTGTTTCTTTTTTATTGATTTATGTACATTATTGCTATGTTGCGTTGTTTTAAAAGAATAAAAGTGACTTTATCTCCAGTATGATTAATAATAATAAAATCATAAAAGAGGAAATTGTAATATAAACTAATTTCCTGATTAATTAATACAATGTGGTCTCTTGCAACAAAATTATATTAAAAAATCATAAATCTTAAGTTCCTCTGTATACAGTGCGATGTGAATAAACCTAAGACTTTAATATACTCTATTAAGAGTTTAGAATAATTATATTTAGAATAATTATAAATAAATTTATTGCGTTAACAGCTTTATGCAAGTCTATCATCCTTATACAATTTGTTTTATTTTCTCGTATCTTCTAATTCAATAAAAGAGATAAAATTTTCAATTTTTTTATATAAATAATGTTTAAATATTTATCAAATAAAAATGTTTTATATACATGCGAGTAAAAAAAATATTGAATGGTATAGATTACGTTATTTTTCAACAGCATTACAATCCGAGTTGAGCCTTAATCTCTTGGAGAAAAATAATCTCGTGTTTTGATTTTCTCTTATTCCGTTACAATTGTAATTTTTATAGGAAAAATAAACTCCTTACCCACATTGGGTAATTATATGCATGCGTACTTTCCACTTAATTTATAACTGCTGGCGCTGCACACAGAACTCTGCTTTGCTTCGTCACGTGAGAAAAAGCAGAGCTTTCATTGGAGATCGCTCATCGTGTTCAGTGTGCAGCAGGCATTTATTTCGCGTATCCGGAAGTGACTGACTTGAAACACGAGTTACACGAGGGGTATATGTAGATCGCGCCGAGTGCATCTAATCAATATGGACGGTGGCAATATACGGGATCTCGTCGGTCATGTATAAACAAGTCGTGTGTATTTTCTGATTGACGGTTGACGGCGAATGGGAGATAAATCACAATCAAGATACTCGCATCGCATGAAAAATCGGGACACGTTTGTCGTTCCTTAGCTCTTTCATGAATCTCGCGACCGGATGTGTCGTCATGCTGTGTTGGCCAAGTCGGGACGTGATGACAGACTTTATACATTAACATCCTAACCACTAATCAGAGTACATAATTATTTTTGCGGCTGGACGTGAACGCGTAAACGTCCAAACATGGTGTTGGCGGATCTCGGACGTAAGATTACGTCCGCTCTGCGGTCGCTCAGCAATGCGACCGTCATCAATGAAGAGGTGAGTTTATTTAGCAACCTATCCGCAATACGCGTGATACGACTTCCTCAAGAATGATTTGTAAACAAAAAAAAAAAGAAACCCGAATGATATGATTCCATATCTTCCTATATGTATTCGACGTTACTTCTCTTTAGACAGCGCGCTTGAAAATTTCCATTTATTTCTAACAATATTGTTGTACGAACTTATGTTTACATTCACAGCTTGAATTTTCCATCTGTCCGAGAACGTTGACAATATTGTACGCTGTAATCAAGAGATATAATGAATTTTAGAGGATTATCCCTCTATTGATTTTTCAGAAATAATTTGATTAGAACTTTTGATTTCTTATATATTGTAGTGTTTATATTATATTCTGTTCTTTTAAATATAACTGGGTGTTTTTCATTTGGTGACACAAGTTGACAAAAGTGTTAGTTTATCTTTGTTACTCATAGAAGACCTGTTTTTTTTATTTCTGTACTTTCTAAACTGGTGCATAGTGCAATAAATTGAAGTGAAACAAATATAGATTTTAAATATCAAGAAAGATAGAATGATACTTGTGTTGAGTTATGCTATTAAATGGAAAGCACATTAGATTTGTATCATATAGCTTTATCAATTAACACTAAACACTTTCGATAGGTTTTAAATTCTATGCTGAAAGAGATATGTGCAGCATTACTTGAAGCTGATGTAAATATTAGATTAGTGAAAAAATTACGAGAAAATGTACGTAAAGTTATCGATTTTGATGATATGGCTGGTGGTATTAATAAAAGGAGGATGATACAGAGCGCAGTTTTCAAAGAACTCGTGAAGGTTGGTTTATCATTTGATTTCTTACAAAAATTTATAATGTTGAAAGTATATTCCAGTATTTGAAAATATATTGACAGTTTTTTTAACCAACGATTCTTTTTTAGTTGATTGATCCTGGTGTCAAAGCTTATCAACCAGTAAAAGGCCGTCCTAACATAATTATGTTTGTTGGTTTACAAGGATCAGGTAAAACAACAACTTGTACCAAACTGGCGTATCATTATCTTAAGAAAAATTGGAAGGCGTGCTTAGTATGCGCTGATACTTTTCGTGCTGGTGCATATGATCAAATAAAGCAGAATGCCACAAAAGCTAGGATACCATTTTATGGGAGGTAAAAAAAAAATAGAAAATATTTATTACAATCTACGTTATTATGCTACTGCAAGATTATTGTGTTATGCTAACAATTTCTAAATTTAGTTATACAGAAGTAGATCCTGTAACAATTGCACAAGATGGTGTCGACATGTTCAAGAAGGAAGGATATGAGATTATTATTGTAGATACAAGTGGAAGGCATAAACAAGAAGAATCATTATTCGAAGAAATGTTACAAGTCGCCAATGCTGTGGTAAAATTATAGCACTTTTTCAAAAAATAATGCATAGAGAAAAAAAATTTTTTAAATACTAAGTCTTTGCATATTCCAGCAACCAGACAATATAATCTTTGTAATGGATGCAACGATAGGTCAAGCTTGCGAAGCACAGGCAAAAGCTTTTAAAGAACGTGTTAACGTTGGTTCCATCATAATCACAAAATTAGATGGCCACGCTAAAGGTGGTGGAGCACTTTCCGCGTAAGTTCTTTTTTTCTAATTTCTAGTTTAATAATTTTATATATTTTTTGTTTTTTGTAATATGTTTATGCAAATTAAACAGGGAAATTATTTCATTATACTTCTAGCATAAGCAATTGCATATAATATATATATATATAATGTTATATATATATAAGTTTTATATATATATAATATTATATA